TATGCATGCAATACATGTCAGAGGTTCTACCCCTCTTAAATCTGTAAATAGAAAGACTACAGGCCATGGGGATATTTTTCCTCACATACTTTGCAGGCTCTGCTCTTTTCTGTGTGCTTCACAAACCCGCAGTCAGCCTTGCTAAGCAGCAGCATCCATTTAGATGAGTCACATGACGCCTGCATGTTTTCCACTGAATTGGAAAAACTCATTTGCCAAGCGGCCTCTCTCTGGGAAAGCTCCAAAAGCATCAGGGAAGTTGGGGAAGAAGAGAGATTTGTTGGGCAGAGAAGCAGCTTTCTATTCTTTTTTGCTTTTCCCTACAACTGGGATTTAAGACAGCTTGCCCTGTGGTCTCGTTCTCTAGCAGTGAAAGAAAAAGAACACATTTGCTAGTAGAAGCAAAGTTTTGCATGCAAACAAGTGTAGAGTCCCAAACTGGACTGTAACAATTTTAATGAGCATCAATAATTAATTTTATGTCAATTATCCCATCTATTGTTCTGAAATGTGTTAGCTGAGTGTGTCTAATGTGTGTGTGTATGTCTAAGTTACTCAGGGTGAACAAAAAACCAGGAATAATCATTTGCAAAGAGATTGTTTCAAACCCTTCTCGGTCCCATTTTGGGAGGAAAACAGAATATTAAATAAGTGAATATGCTTCAGTATAAAAAGGAAAGGAGCCGGAGAAACTTAGTGGCATCTTTCTTGTATTTGAGCACAAGCTGTCCTGCATTTCTATCCACTTCTTCAGGAGTCCTGATGGAATTCAATATTTGAGACACAGATATTTAAGCACAGTTACATAACTGTGGATATGGGGTCAGAGCAAAATGGGACAGAGAAAGATGTAAAACGTGACAGTGGCCATAAAGCTTCAAAGGGTTGTTCAAGGTAATATAAGATTGTTAAGCAGCTTGCCAATTAGTCCTGAGGTACCAAAGCAAGACATTTTCCTTATTCAACATAGAAATAAAAAGAAAGGAATAAAGACAGAAGCAAACACAATCTCTCTGAGATTCCCTTCCTTGTCCTTCCCCGGATTTCAAAGAGTGAACTTGCTGTTAAAAGTGGCCGAGATTTGTCAGAAAAGAGCCTCACACCTTGGTGAGGAATAAAGCTAAATCCTGTCTTACCATTATTTTCAAAATACAGTACTAACACTTTTATCATGTACCATGCTTTGAACAGCGGCTGTGCACCAGATAGCAAGAATGCAATGTAATGTTCTGTTAATAGAGTCCTTCTCTCTCAAGGCCAGGACCTCTTTTGATTACTTTTGATTTTGACCTCTTTTTTTTTCATGCCAGGAGCAACTTGAGAAACTGCAAGTCACTTCTAGTATGAGAGAAATGACCATCTGCAAGGCTGTTGCCCAGGAGACGCCAGGATGTTTTGATTTCTTACCATCCTTGTGGGAGGCTTCTCTCGTGTCTCTGAATAGGAAGCTGGAGCTGACAGAGGGAGCTTATCCGTGCTCTCCCCGGATTCGAACCTGCAACCTGTCGTTCTTCAGTCCTGCTGGCACAAGGGTTTAAGCCATTGTGCCACTGGGGGCTCCACTTCACCTCTATAGACACATTCCCTCATCATTCCACATTGATGTTGTGTACCTCATGTTGTTTACAACTCTGGCAACCCTAAGACACACCTGTCATAGAGTTTTCTCAACAAAATGTGTTTACCATTACCTTCTTCTGAGGCTGAGAGAGAGTGACCTGCCTAAAATAATCCAGGTCCTTTCCACACAGCCATATAATCCAGAATATCAAGGTAGGAAATTCCACAATATCTGCATTGAACTGGAATATATAGCAGTGTGGACTCAGATAAACCAGTTCAAAGCAGATATTGTGAGATTTTCCTGCCTTGATATTCTGGGTTATATGTCTGTGTGGAAGGGCCCCCAGTGAGTTTCATGCCCAACAGGAATTTGAACCCTGGTCTCCAGAGTCATAATCCAACAAACTACAACATGCTTCCTTGCTTCTCTTAATTTTTACATCCTGATGAAAGACACCAAGGAATTAAAAAACTGGCATATTAGGAAGGAATAACTTGATGACCTTCTTCTTGGCCTTCCGAACATTTTTTTCCCTGTCAGGAGTGACTTGGGAAACTGCAAGTCGCTTCTGGTGTGAGAGAATTGACCATCTGCAAGGACGTTGCCCAGGGGATGCCTGGATTTTTTGATGTTTTACCATCCTTATGGGAGGCTTCTCTCATGTCTCCGCATGAGGAGCTGGAGATGACAGAGAGAGCTCATCCGCGCTCTCTCTGGATTCAATCCGGTGACCTGTTGGTCTGCAGTCTTGTTGGCACAAGGGTTTAACCCACTGAGCCACCGAAAATTGACTCACAAAGAATTGTTTGGAGAAAATTCTGACACATTCTGACTGAAAAAAATCTTTAAGGATAAAGGCTACCTTTTGATTCTTGATCCTTAATGCCCTATTGAGAAAATATAAACCACTTTGAGTCCCATTCATGGAAGAAAAGCAGGAGAAAAGTAAATAATAATAATAATAATAATAATAATAATAATAATAATCCTCATCATCATCCAACCCTAGAATATGTGTGCGCCTTCAAAATGCCTGTCGACCTAAGAATACCCTTCTTAATTATAACTAGTTCTTAATGATAAATCAGCACTAAAACCATCCTTTTTCTAAACACTATTTGAAAACAACAGCAACACCAGGTTTACTTTGCAGCAGCCATAAATCAGATCAACAAACGAAAACTACATTGATGGAGTTTGCCAACACTTTATGGCTCCATGTTACAGAATCCTGGGAATTATATCTTGGTGAGGCATCAGAAGGCTAAACACCACCTAAACCTACTACTATAATTAGTGTCAAACAGCATTAATTCTAGTGCTCTGCCAAACCATGCCTTTTCCCAGATTGCAGACAAACCTCCTTCCCAAATGGTCACCAAGGATGTATCTACACCAGTCATGGGCAAACTTTGGTCCTCTGGGTGTATAAGACTTCAACTCCCATAATTCCTAACAGCCTCACGCTTAAGTGGCTTAAGTAGCTGAGGGGGAAAGGGAAAGGGCCTGTGGCTGTTAGGGATTGTGGGAGTTGAAGTCACCTGGGGGGACAAAGTTTGTCTGTGCCTGATCTACACTGTAGAATAAATGCAGTTTGACACCATTTTAACATCCATGGCTCAAGCTGTGGAATTTGGGGAGTTGTAGTTTGGTGAGGTACCAGTCCTCTTAGGAAGAGCAGAGGCTTGTAAATCCACCACTCCAAAGATTCCAGAGCACTGAGCCTTGGCAGTTAAAGTGGTGTCAAACTATGTTAATTTTACAGTGTAGATGCCCTCTACACACTCAACAAAATCAAATAGCATCACGTATATATACAAAGGTTTGTAATTCACTTACACAACTCATAGCACTAAGCTTTGGCAGTTAAAGTGGTGTCAGACTGCATTCCATATAGTGTGGCTGGACCTAGAATCACAGAATTGGAAGAGACCTGATGGGCCATCTAGTCCAACTCCCTGCCACAAAGCAGGAAAATTGCATTCAAAGCACCCCCGACATATGGCCATCCGGCCTCTGCTTAAAAGCCTCCAAAGAAGGAGCCTCCACCACACTACAGGGCAGAGAATTCCACTGCTGAACAGCTCTCACAGTTAGGAAGCTCTTCTTCATGTTCAGGTGGAACCTCCTTTCCTGTAGTTTGAAGCCATTGTTCCACGTCCTAGTCTCCAGGGCAGCAGAAAACAAGCTTGCTCAATTCTCCTTATGACTTCCCCTCACATATTTATACATGGCCCTCATCATATCTCCTCTCAGCCATCTTTTCTTCAGGCTAAACATGCCCAGCTCTTTAAGCTGCTCCTCATAGGGCTTGTTCTCCAGAACCTTGATCATTTGAGTCGCCCTCCTCTAGACACCTTCCAGCTTGTCAACATCTCCCTTCAATTGCAGTGTCCAGAACTGGACACAGTATTCCCGGTGTGGTCTGACCAATTACCTAAAATTGGTTTCTTTCACCTAAACACAGAGACCATTCTGGACTCATTTTCAGTACTGAATTCCTTGGTAAACATGTGATAAAATCTACTAGATCTGTGGGAATATTTTACATTTTGTATTGTGAGTGTTCTCATCATTCCATTAAGATGGCTTCTTTTAGGTAAATTTTTGGCCTATAATTCCATCAACATGGGGTGCATCTCTACATTGAATAAATGCAGCTTGACATCACTTTAACTACCATGGCTCAACTTTGTGGAATCAGGAGAGCTTTAATTTTAAAAGGACTTTAGCTTTCTCTGCCAAAATGCTCATGCCTCACTAAACTACAAATCCCAGTGTTCTAGCCGAGAACAAGCTGGCTCGCTCCTCCCTATGACTTCTTCTCACATAGTTAAACATTGCTATCATGTCTCCTCTCAGCCTTCTCTTCGGCAGGCTAAACATGCCCAGCTCTTTAAGCCGCTTCTCATAGGGTTTGTTCTCCAGACCCTTGATCATTTGAGTCGCCCTCCTCTGGACATTGCTATCATGTCTCCTCTCAGCTTTCTCTTCGGCAGGCTAAACATGCCCAGCTCTTTAAGCTGCTCCTCATAGGGTTTGTTCTCCAGACCCTTGATCATTTGAGTCGCCCTCCTCTGGACATTGCTATCATGTCTTCTCTCAGCCTTCTCTTCTGCAAGCTAAATATGCCCAGCTCTTTAAGGCGCTCCTCATAGGGTTTGTTCTCCAGGCCCTTGATCATTTTAGTCGCCCTCCTCTGGACACATTCTTGTCAATTGCGGTGCCCAGAATTGGACACAGAGTGATTCCAGGTGTGGCTTGACCAAAGCAGAATAAAGGGGTTGCATGACTTCCCTGGATCTAGACACTAGACTCCTCTTGATGCAGGCCCAAACCTCCACCCCCTTCTGCAGGTGAGCGCCTGCATTTTGCGCCATCCCCGACCTTCCTGCTCCAAGATGCCCTCCATCCTTCCCGGTAAATAAATCCCTACCTGGGGGCTGTCCTGCAGTGCCTCTTCCAGGCGGAGTTTGTCGACCACCGGCATGGCCTGGCTCTGGAGAAGGCAGAGGTTGAATAATTGATGTTGTGGGCGAATGGCGCAGCAAAGAGCCCCGAGCCAAAGAGGCGGCCCGACGCTCCTCTCTCTTGACACGTCCTCACGCAGAGAAGGAAAGGAGGCGGATGGAGGGCAAGCGCCAGGGGGAGAGAAAGGGAGGGATGGAGGGGGCTTCCAGGTAAGGACAGAGGCTTCACTCCTGGCTCCTGCGGCTCCTGCAGCCTGTTGCGTCCCGAGCGCCGTCTTTCCCCAAACCCCTCCTCCAGGTTCCTGCTTCGGGGAGGAAGTGGAGCCAGGAATGGAGGAGCAGGAGCAGGAAGGGCGGCGCTGCAGACAGACCTCCCCGCCTCTCGTCACTCTTCCTGGCAGATCCCGAAGGGAAGCAGAGCCTCCCCAGCCAAGCAACAAGTAGTAGTAGGCGCTTCAGCTGGACAGCTCTTCCCCTCTGGGGGCCAGGCAGCCCGGGTTGCCTTCTTGTGCCTCTCACAAAACCTGATCCCTCTCCCTAGTAGAATGTATGCATCTTGACCCCACTTTAGCTGCCAGGGCTCAGGCTGGATCTAGACTGCCATCTGATACAGCTTGAAATTGCATTATGTGGACAGTGTACACATCTAATGCTGTTAAACTGCATTATATTATATTATATTGTTGAAGGCTTTCATGGTTGGAATCACTAGGTTGCTGCAAGTTTTTTGGGGCTGTATGGCCATGTTCCAGAAGCATTCACTCCTGACGTTTCGCCTGCATCCATAGTAGGCATGCTCAGAGATTATATGGAACATGGCCATGCAGCCCGAAAAACCCACAACAACCCTACCAAAAGGGTCAGGAAAGCCACTGCAAAACTGGGTTACTGTGAGTTTTCTGGGCTGTATTTCCATGTTCCAGAAGCATTCTCTCCCATGGTTTCGCCCACATCTATGGCAGGTATTCTCAGAGATTGTGAGGTCTTGTCGAAGGCTTTCATGGCTAGAATCACTGGGTTGTAGGTTTTTGGGGCTGTATGGCCATGTTCTAGAAGCATTCTCTCCTGATCTTACTCCTGCATCTATGGCAAGCATCCTCGGAGGTTGTGAGGTCTGACCTCACAATTTCTGAGGATGCTTGCCATAGATGCAGGCGAAACGTCAGGAGAGAATGCTTCTAGAACATGGCCATATAGCCCAAAAAAACAACAACAACCCAGTTGTGAGGTCTGCTGGAGACTAGGGAAATGGCCATAAAATACAGTTCAATGCAGATAACCTGGATTTTATACGACAGTGCAGAAGGGCCCGTTACATAATTTTAGCACGATGATTCCCCTATATAATCTCTATGGCTGTGTCCCGTTGAGTCTTGGGGGTTGCATTAGAGCAGTGTTTCTCAACCTGGGGTCGGGACCCCTGGAGGGGTCACGAGTGGGGTGTCAGAGGGGTCTCCAAGAACTATCAGAAAGCACAGTATTTTTTATGCTCATGGGGTACTGTGTGGGAAATCTGGACCAATTTTGTCGTTGGTGGGGTTCAGAATGCTCTTTGATTGTAGGTGAACTATACATCCCAGCAGGTGAACTGTAGATTGTAGGTGAACTATACATCCCAGCAAATGCAACTCCCAAATGTCAAGGTCTATTTTCACTAAACTCCACCAGTGTTCACATTTGGGCATATTGAGCATTTGTGCCAAGTTTGGTCCAGGTCCATCATTACTCTTTGATTGTAGGTGAACTATAAATCCCAGCAACTACAACTCCCAAATGACAAAATCGATTCCCCCCCCCCCCCAACCCCACCAGTATTCAAATTTTGGGCATATTGGGTATTTGTGCCAAATTTGGTCCAGTGAATGAAAATATATCTTGCACATCAGATATTTACATTACGATTCATAACAGTAGCAAAATTACAGTTATGAAGTAGCAATGAAAAAAAATGTTATGGTTGGGGGGGGGGTCACCACAACCTGAGGAACTGCATTAAGGGGTTGCAGCATTAGAAAGATTGAGAAATACTGCACTAGAGGTCTCTGAGAAGACTAAACACCCCTCCCTATACGGCAAACAAGGCATTATTTAACAGAGCAAACAGGTGTCTCTTTGTGTGTTGTTTAATCTTTCTTAGGTGGATCCGGTTTATGGCTGCAGCCCTGTGTACCTGTGAGCCTCATGTTGAAATGGATGTTTGGAAAGAGGCAAAACCAGCTTTAGGGCTGCTTTATATTTCAAGATCCAGTAATAATAAAAAGAGGGATGTTAATTGCCCTCTTAGAATTTCCTCTCCAAATAACTAGGAATTTAGCTTGAGCATGCTGATAAATAGGTTTTGATCATTTGGATTACAATTCCAGCAGTTCTCAATAACAGAGTTCATTGTAAGTATTAGAGCGTGGGAAAAGTGAAGGGATTAGATTAAAATTCCCACAACCTTTTCACCAGCAGCGGTGTGAGTATCTAATACAAACAATGTATTTTGCGTTCCCCATTAACTATTTTTAAAAATCAGCATATGAAAGTTTTAAAATATTATTTGGGGTTGGAGTCGTGCACACACATTTAACTGGAACCAGCCACATGGAAATCAATGAGGCTTCATTCTGAGTAGCATGCTTTCTAAAAATTCACAGAGTTGTAGTTTTAGGAAGCCTTTCCTGCCAAATAGTGCTGGTGCCTCACTAAACTACAAAATCCCATGTATTGTTGAAGGTTTTCATAGCCGGAATCACTGGGTTGTTGTGAATTTTTTGGGCTGTATGGCCATGTTCCAGAAGCATTATCTCCTGACGTTTCATCTGCATCTGTGGCAGGCATGCTCAGAGGTTACGTGGAACATGGCCGTACAGCCTGAAAACCTCACAGCCACCCTACAAATCCCATGTTTCTATAGTATTGAGCAGTGGCAAGTGGTGTTCTGCATTAATTCTGCAGTGTAGAAGTGAACTGATTGCAAACTATTTTTGCACTTTGAATGTGGTTCACCATAACTGAAGTTAGGCTAAGGAGGAAAATGGGACAATTCTAAAGCAGCTAAAAAGAGGGACAACAAAGGATTAATTGGGACACTTCCTGCCGATCTGGGACAATTGAGGGGTATGGTGTACTGTTACTCATTTGTAGATTTACCTTTTCTATGATTACAAGTAAAACTCCCAAGTAATTTACTAAGAATAATATATAACCCACAATTACAAAAACAAGTAAAAACATCATCCTGTACCAAGAGTAATGTCAGAAACTTGTTACACAAAGACTGGGGAGATCTTTTTTCATCCTTCCTTTCATCCTTGGGATTCGGGTGGGTTGTTATTGTATTTGTGTTTATGGCTGTTTTTAAGGCATTAAATGTTTGCCTTCCTGTTTGTGTTTGCTGGAACCTGCCCTGAGTCCTTTTGGGGAGATAGGGCAGAATACAATTCATTATTATTATTATTATTATTATTATTATTATTATTATTATTACTACCTAAGAACATTTTTACAGGGGATAAAGTTAGGTGCAAGAAGAGAGTCAGGAAGGCACCTTGACCTATATAAATACAACAAATATGTATATATAAATACAACAAAGTAACATATACATCACTTTTAAAATTATTGATTTTTTACAAGAAAGATGGACACCAGGATATGTGAAATAACTTGTGGGAATTTTTCTGATAGAAACTAAATATGGGATCCTTCCCATGGACTGATAATAAAGGCCTTTGTCAGAAACAGATAAAATGACTATCTGAGCCAAAAGCATTGCATAAAATAGTTTAACTAAAAGTGATTAAATACTTTATCTAAAACTAATAAAATAAAGGGATCACAAGCTACTAGATAGTTTTAGACCCAAAACAGGCAACAGCAACTGCATTGTCTGTAGCTTTAAACAATTCTCCCTCTGTGCATGAAGCAGGGCATTATGGGCAAGCATACAGATGCAGAGTTGTTTGTTCTGCTTCACAGTTGCACAAGGTGGAGGATTCTTCTAGACAGTGCCATTTTCCCAGGTTGTCTTTGGATCTGCCAACTCCATTTCTGAGTCTGTTCAGGGACTTCCAAATTGCCCATTCTTGGTTTGCTCCTGGAAGGGGGGCATGCAGTTGGAAGCTTGATTTTGGTGCCCAAAGGGATACTCTTGCTGTTTCTGGGGGAACCTTTAGAGGAGTGGTGGTTCTCATGAAACTTTTCTTTAATTTAAGTCTACTGGGAAGAGGCTGATAGCCATATAATGGGTGGTTTTCATAGTGTTTAACCTTATTTCTCTCACAATTGGCAGCAACTTCCAGTTGCACATTGGAGAGTATGCCGTCGTGCCGGGGAGCTATAGATCTTAGTGAAAGAAACATGGACGTGGCATCTTTTCCCCAGGGATTGCTTCTTGCCCTCCTTTAGAGAACTGGAACTCTCAAGGATCAAGACACTATAGATAACTCGAAATAGTCTTTATTGTTCACAATGAGTTATCTTCCTTAGGCATAAACTTGATATTCAAAAGGGGGAAATAAAACATACATTACAGTCTTTGGAGTCTTGGGTCCAAGGAGTTTTACAGCTGAGAAGCTTTCCAAGTTCCCTCTTTCTCAATGGCTGTGAAAGTCGGAACATTCACAACCCCAGTCCAATGACCTATATTGAAGGCACACAAGGACTTCCTTTTGATGCCAAAGGACTGGTTTGAAGGTGCTTAAGATTCTGCAACGTTGTCCAGGTGAGCTGGATATGAAGAATGAATCTTAAGAGTACAAACATAAGAATTGGTGATAAGAGATGGCTTGACTGAGGGCTTTAGAGCCAAGCCTTTCTCACGTGACACATCCATCTGCTAAGTTGTTTGATTGTGGAATGAAAAGAAAGCACTGCCCTCTTCCCCAGGAAGGGGCGGAGCCAAACAATTGGGCAGGGGGAGCAATTTAACCGGTGCAAAACAACATTGATAGAAAGTAGATAGTAGATAGCCAAACAATTCACCTGTATTACACATACAAGTGGGGCCAGATGCGCTGTCACGGGGGGGGGGGGGGTAATGCCAGATAGCTTTTAGAGTCTACCAACACGTGTAGGTTTAAGGTATCATGTGATTATTCTACACATCTCATTTAGTGCTATATTCACCTGCTTTGCATGGGTAGATTTATGCCAGATGGGGCAGGCATACTCAGCAGTTGAGTAAAACAAGGCCAGGGCTGATGTTTTTATTATTTTTGGGTCTGACAAGGTGTATTCACATAAATGGCTCAGTATGAACTGTAGATTTGATAGAAAGATGGGATTGTTCTATGAAAATCTCCATTACAGATACCTTTAGAGAGAAATTTATTTCTGTGATGTTTTTAATTTTGCTGATATTTTATAAATTA